ACGCTAACGAAGTTTGCGGGCGACAGCTCGTAATTAATATTTACATAAATATAGTATATATTTACATAATATTTACATAGTATAGTATATAGTCTTTGGATTTTTTTTCTCGTTTACATTAAAATGGATTACACAGGCACATATACTTACTAAGTATATTTAATTTTGTAGGCAGATAAATTCAGTGTTAATTTGCTATTTTGTTCCCTACAACAGAATTGCAGAATGCTGGAACGTATGGACTTAGAAGAATGTGTTCTTATAACGGACACAACTTTAGTTCACCTTTCTATGGGTTGCCCGAGGCTGGAGAAGTTGGTAAGTTTTAATAAGTTTATTAATTTTCTTTTAAAGACTAACTGCCAAATGTGTCATATTTCTGTATAAAATGTAACGATAAAAGTAAATTGTCTATTCATACTAATACTATTAAGAGTAAACACAAACTTTGTTACATAGGATGTCAGCTATCAGTATGTTTTGGAATAAAACTCTTTTTTTTTAAAGCCTTACATTTACAACTTTTTTCACGCTATGTATTTAGAGGGTAAGTCAATTGGAAATAAACATCATGCGTGAAAGAGACAATAACTATGAGCTAATAGTAAAGAAGAGAAGTTACCATTGTAATGGTAATTGATGGTCACAGCAAAGACCTTCAGTGGCAATAACATTTGACAAAGTTTTAGAGCGTGCGCACAATTTTCACTATAATATCGCACAACAGTTGGCGATATTTTAGTCATATGTAAAAATAAAATAGATTTTTCATACAATGTCAATGAAGCTGTATAACAATATTTGTGAATATTAGTAAAGTTTTGCTTATGTCATAAATATAATTAAATGTATTCCAGACGCTGTCGCACTGCGAGCTGATAACTGACTATGGAATCAAGCAGTTGTCAATGTCGCCGTGCGCTGCAGAGCATCTCACTGTGTTAGGTAACAAAATACTTCTCCTTACTAATATAGTAGAACCTCGATAACATAAAAACCATTATAACTTCAAAAAATAATATCTTCCCTTCCCATCAGAGCCCAAAATCTCTATAACATAGACCCTTAATAACTTAAAACCTCTATAACTTAAAATATTTTGTGTTTCCCTTGGACTTTGACATATCGAGGTTCTACTGCATTTTAAATGCAAAAGTATAGGTTGGTTGTTAGATTTTGTAGCCTATATATGGCATAAATGTAGATGTTAGCCTGAAAAATCATATAGGCACCTTAACTTTATTATTTTTAAATTAACACGGACGGAGTCGCAGGCGAAAGATAGTGTAATAACATAATTTGGGGATTTAATAAAAATATGGATGTAAATACAAATACAAATATTTTATTGGTAAGAGAATTACAAGTCATTATGTTAAAAAATAAAAATCTTTACATAATATTCTGAAAAAAAAAATTGTGTACATAAAAATAATCATGGTGGAAAAATTCTTCGACACTATAGAAAGCTTTTTGTATTAGCCATAATAATAGAATATTTGGATGGATGAATGGATGTTTGTTATTCACTGAAAATTCAATATGGCTGAAAGTTGGAGCAGATAATAAAATTGTGTGTCTGATCTTACATTATAAAGTAAATATTTCATAAACATAAGGTAATTTATGTTGCTGATAAAAATACAATTTTGAGAGTTTTATGTATTAAACATGATATCTATAAATATTGATTTACTTTCTTTCAGGTTTAGATAATTGCCCGCTGGTGACGGACGGCGCGTTAGAGCATTTAACTTCGTGTCATAATTTACAACTCATAGAACTATACGACTGCCAGATGGTGACAAGGAATGCTATTAGGAAATTGAGGGTAAGCTGACTTATTTTCAGAACTCTATACTTGGCAATAATATGAATTAAAAAATACTAATGTTATAGACAATAGGACTTTTACCACATTTAAAATTATAATGTGGTCACTAAGGGGTAAATTTTCATCATGAAATCTTAGCTTACGCAACAAAGTCAGTCTTCAAAGTTAGATAAATTAATCATTTTCTCTCAATAGGTGAATAATTAATTAATGACTGGAAAAGCTTTAAACAAGTGAGCAAAATTAATTTGTAAATTAATTATTTATCTTACCTCTGAGGTTTATTTTTATAGTATAACATAAATGCAACTTTATTAATATGATTACTTTAAAAAAATATCTAGATGCCTTCATTTGATTTTCTTCAATAAAGTAATCTTACCACAATAGCTAAATGGAAATTCAAATAACTATTGAAGTTTTAATTAATTATTTTCCGGTGGCGACACCGATTAATTATAATGTCTTACGCAATTTAAAAAAAAAGTTGAAAAAAATCTTTTTTTGTTATATTTGCAGAGTCACCTGCCCAACATCAAGGTGCACGCGTACTTCGCGCCCGTCACGCCCCCTGCGGCGGGGGGCGGC